TCAGTTTTATCAGTCTGTGAAATATATTCATTCATCTGTTGCCTCTACATAGGAGAGAAAATTTTAATAAAAACAAATATATTTTAAAGAGTAAATTCTTTGCTCTTAAAACCAAGAACCAAGGGCTAAATAGTATACACAGAAAATTTTCAATATCCCTCTTTCTTGACTTAGTAAGCACTGAGAATACAAAAATAAATAAAATAAGGACAGGCACAAATTCATACATGAATAGTATGTAATCAACTTGTTGTAATGACATTTAGTTAGTACTATGGTAGACACAAAGAATCACTATGAGAAGACACAGAGCATGTCCCTTGACTCTAAAGCATCAACTAGAAGTTCTTCAAGTAGACAAAGAAATAAGAACACTCAAAGAAGAGAAATTTGAGAATTGTGAATTATTATTTTTTAGGTTTTTGCCATAGGGTGCATATGCTTGCCAGAGAGAGAGAGAGAGAGAGAGAGAGAGGGCCTTTGTGAGAGGGAAAATGAAAAATCACCACTCAGGGGGATGGCCACATGGCAATCATTTCTCCTCCATTCTCCTTTTAGAATCTTGGGCACACGTGCACATGTACCTAGCATGAGTTTCAAGTCACTGAGTCCTAGACTCAAATGGCAGTTGGCCATGTGAGAGTTTAGCACCTTAACCACCATGCCACCTGCTGGTTCCAAGAACTGAATATTTTGATAGTTGGAAAATTGGGATTGAGAGTTCTGGTGGCAAAAGGGACTGGAAAGGTAGAGCCTAGTAAAAATCATCAGTTCCTTTTTATGCTACAAGAAAAGGGTTTTAACTATATTCTTTGGCAATGAGGATACAACCAAAAAGTATATTTGCTTTTTAGAAGGCTAAAGAGGATAGATTTAAGAGATAACAACAGAGAAATGAGATGTCATTGGAGATTTAGAAAGGATAGTTTGAGAGAAATGAGATAAGAAGATAGATAATATCTGTTTATATAAGTTATGAAGTAGAGAGAGATGTTAGGAATGACCCATGGAATAGGCTCTGAAAGGAAAGGTCACTATTTTAATTTGTAGCATGTTGAGTTTTAGTGCTTTGTGGGATGTCTAAGTGAATATTGATGGTGAGAAATATATCTGGAGTTTGAAGGAGAGCTGTAAGGTGTTAGAATGTAGGTGATGCCAAAAGCATGACCCTGCATACTATGAACCAAGAAACATATCTAGATTGAGAAGGCTTTAGATGAAGAAACGTCATAGTCTGTTCAGGCTGTTATCACAAAAATATCATAGTATAGGTGGCATGTAAACAACAAACTTATTTCTCACAGTTCTGGAGACTGGAGAATTTGAGATCAAGGAGTCAGGAGATTCATTATCAGGTGAAGGTGTCACAATCTGGAGTAAGACTCAAGAGACCTCATCTAAAGCAAAAAGGAAAGTTTATTGAGAGAAAGAGTGCCCAGAAGTCTGAAGCTAGAGGTGCCTCCACCCACTTACCAGGAGAGAAGGGGTTTCTTTTATAGGCAGCCACACAATTCTGAGAGACTGTATGTGAGACTATGCAGGAGAATTTTTAAAATCTATCTCCAAAAAGTCAGACCTCTCAATACTCCTTTTGTTTTCAGTGCTACTCCTTGGCTGTGTGACCTTGCAGTAGGTTCATTGTCTGCTACTCCTTGGCTGTGTGACCTTGCAGTAGTAGCAAATGGCTAGAGGCTCCCACCAAGGCCAGTTCTGCAGTGGTCTGGCCTTGGTTTCTCATCAGGTCTAGAGCAATACCACGTGATGCTCAGAAGAGCTTTACTTAAAAGTAAGGTCCATTCAGGGACCTTACAGAGGGTTTGCTTTTTGATTCATAGATGACCATCTCCTTATGTTCTCACATGGCTGAAGGCATGAGGAAATACTCTGGGGCCTCTTTTGTGAAGACAATATCTATTTGTGAGGCCTCTGCCTTCATGAGTAATCACTTCCCAAAAACCTTACCTCTAACTACTATCACACTGGAGATTAGGTTTCAACATACGAATTTTGGAAGTACACAATCTAAAAATGTGATAGCACCATTTGAGGAAAAAGCAATAGGAGCCATGGGCCAGCAGATGGTGCAGAAGTAAAGGTGGCTGGATCCCACATGGCTGACTGACTGTTTGTGTCCTAGACTAGCTGCTTGAAAAACATGCCAGGTGTGGGTATGTGTGCGTTCCTATAGCACCTGCTGGGGTGCTTTCTCATCTTCTCTCTCTCTCTTTCTCTCTCTCTCTCTCTCCTTTTCTCTGTCTCTGACAAGTACACACACCCTAAAGCAAAAATTGGGAAATAAAAGCCACAGTGGCTAAAAAAATAATAAGAGTAAAGAAGAATATGAAGAGCAACATGTGGTATCATGGAAGTGATGAGTAAAGACATATCAAAAAGTAAAAAAAATAGTATCCAATGCTTCTGCAAATTTCAGAATAATCAAGACTGAAAGTTGTTGATTTGATTTAGCAAATAGTAGACTATTATTGATTTTGTTGAAGGTGCTTTTATTACAGTGCCATATGAGGAAATGGAAATCTGACTTTACAAGACTGATACGTAAAGCACAGAAAAGAATGTTTATGCCTTTAAGTAAGATTTTAGTGGCCTGAGAAAACATGTATTTAGCAGAGAAGGAATCAATAAAGACAGCCAATGGGAAAGATAGAAGCTATAGCAAAGAGAGAATAATTATTCTGACATTATAATAAAAATGTAAAGCCATATGGACAACTTTTCTGTATTTTTGGATGTAGGCTTAAAGAAAGCCCTTCCTACTTAGTTACTCACTAAATCACTGCCAATGGAGACACTGGGGAAGGATCATTGAGGAACACTGTAGCATGTAGGACACTGCTGAAGAAAGCTGTTAACAGAAATATAGTAACATGATTTTGTGTTCATAGAACTTTATAGCATAACTAAGTTGATTAGACAAATAGAGAGATAACTAGAATAAAATGTAGAGTAAGATGAGTGCCATGGGGCTGTATACTCAATGTTCTATGACTGAAGTTTAGTTTAATGTGCCTTTTGATTATCAGCCTCTGATGCATTTCCTTCTGATTTTTCCAAAAGTGGAAAAATCATAGAACCAAAAATGATGAATAATAACAGCAAACACTTATCTAGCATTTACTATGGTACTGGCACTGTTCTGAGTATAATATGTTCACCAACATACATGTATTAAACCTTCATGATAGGTGGTGTTATAACTGACAGAGACAAAAAGCCTACAGTGTGAACTTCAGAAAAATCATTTAAGTTTGAACTAAATATATTAGAATTCTTCATATTCTTGGATGTAACTGAGATCATTGCTAATGAGAGCAAGAACGTTACTCACAGGAAGAAGTTATGAAAGTTATAAAAGATTCACAATATGGAATGGGAGCATGGAGGAAGGGCAACAAACATTCAGTAAGTATATTAACTGAATGAACAATTTATATCCAAATATATCACATAAACAAGTTTACTATTCCTTGATTGTACCTTTCAAATCTTCTCACATAAATATCTGACAAATATTTCTATAACTACACTATTTTCTTTTTGAGAGATTTTTGCTATAGGGTGTGTACGCTTGCCAGAAAGACAGAGAGAGACAGAGAAACAGAAAATTAGAAATCATCCCCCAGGGGAGATGGTCACACCACAATCCCTTCTCCTTCATTCTCCTCTAGGGATCTTGGGCACACAGGCACATGGCATAAGTTTAAGCCACCAGGTCCGGGACTTGAACTGCAGTCGACTACATGGGAGTCCAGCAATATAGCCATTATGCCAACTGCTGGCCCCAGCATAACTACACTACTTCTATATTAGAAGACTTCTGCCTCTACCCTTACACACTAACCTTTATTAAATGGTTACTTTATGGAAAGTATTGGAGTGTTTTGTTTATATGATTATTTTCTCAAGTATTATAATAATATTATGTTTATTAAACACTCTCTCTCTCTCTCTCTCTCTCTCTGTAATAACAGAGAGATTGCCAGTCTGCTATGGGAAACCTAATCTGTCATGTTTTCTGCCTCCCCATAGGATTCCCCCTTATTGCTTCTGCAGAAGACCTAGGAATAAATACCAGTATGACTCACTTATTATTAGAGTTGTGGAAAAGTCATGACCTATTTTTCCTATGCATTTTCTATATAAAAAATAAAAAAATAGGTCATGACTTTTCTGACAACCTAATAGTCACCTACTAACTAAGATGAAAATGAGAGCTGGTGCCATGGATTTAAATAGATAACTGTATTACAGAAAATTAGGGAAATATTACCCACATTTGTTAGTAGTTCAGTATAGAAACACAACTGGATAAACACTGATGTAAAATACTTATTTGTTGGAAATTTACTATAGAATGATAAAATTAAAGAATTTTTAGAGCAACATAGTTTTAAATGTTTCATATATAACTGATAAATATTTAAAAAATTGTATGGCATTAGCTACACTATATTAAGTGAGCAATGTCATAATTATAGTGAGATGTTTATCTTTTAGATATGTGGAAACACTACTGAAAAATGATACAAATTTTACAGAACAACTTTTTACCTTTTAAATATTTTCCTATATTTTTCTAATTGTCTTCCATTACTATGTGTTAAGTGAACTTAAAATGAATAGACACAATTTCTTTACACTTTTTGATTATAATTAAATAATTAAATATGTCATTTCTTGCTTCTCTTTTTCTGCCTTCACTGTTTTCTCTTCCTCAATTCTACATCTATGCCAAAAAGCCAGTACGTCAAAAGTAAATATACAAGGGTCTTAACAATCCTCAAAGAAAGTTATAAGAATATTTAAATTACTTTTTATCATTTATATTTGCTGAAATTTTGTAAGAACATGAATCACTACTGCAATGATAAAACCTTTGTTTTGAGAAAACAAACTCAGAAACCGCCTTAACAAAATAAACAGAATATAATTAAATATGTGAAAGCAGGTAATGAAAATAATCAAAGTACACAAAGGTCTAGTAAGAGTCAGCAATAAAAGCAGAAATTGCTATGTTAAGGTTGCCTGAGAAACTGAAAATAGTTTAAGAACTGCTATACTCAGAAACAATATAAAACAGAATATAAGTGCTGTGTTCACGATACTGCCTACAATAAAGAAGTCAGTTTTAATTGTTCCATGGGCATCTGGATATATAAGGAAATTTCTGAGTGTGCCAAATCAATTTAATTCAAATTATGACCAATAAGAGAACATTTTAACTATTCTTTATATTTTTTAGAAGATTTATATAAAAATTTATCTTGTGACATGGAGAATTTTTTCTTTCAGAGTATTATTTCAAAGTTCTCCAACTGAAAATAATGGCCACATATTAAGATGATGATAGGTATTTATCTGGCATTGGTTCATTTTGTCCTTCCATTGGGAACTTTAAAGCCTACACTTGTTTTCACAATTGCAACACTTGTTTTAACATCTTGAAGTCTTTCACAGGCTTTTTGAAAGGAAATCATATCAATAACAAATTTTTCTTCACAATGTCTGTTATAAATTTCTTCAGCCCTAATGGGAAAAAGAAAGGTAACAGAATAAGATACTTCTAAATTACTAAAACAACCATAACAATCAATGATGATAATTAGACATCTTCAAAATAGAATATTCAAATGGAAAAAAGATATAACTTCCTTTATAGAACTTGTTATATGACTAAATAATGCTCATGTTTAAGTAACATTCATAAGATTTTTATAGTCTGGAACTGAGAATTCTTTAAATCACTTTTTATAGTTTATATTTTCTAAATTTATATTCCCAAAGGAGCATCTGAACCAGTACATATCATGATTTGCTGAAATTCTACATAAGTCTCGCTGAATCCAAGCTTCTTTGGGGGCTGTTATGAACTGAATGTATCAATATTCTCACATGTATAATGTATCATATTATTCACATATTAAATCCTAACTCTCAGTACCTTAGATTGTGACTGTATTTATAGATAGGGCTGTTAAGAGGTAATTAGAGTCAAATGAGGTCTTACGGGTATATCCTAATCCAAAATGATTAGTGTCTTTATAAGAAGGAGATGAGACATCAGGATAGTGAGTACATAGGGTAAATTTGAAGACAGTGCAAAGGTGACTATCTGCAAGCAAGGAGAGAAGCTTCAGGAGAAACCAAACCTGCTGACACTTTGATCTTGATCCTCCAGCCTTCAGAACTGGAACATGAATTTCTGCTACTTAACTCATCTTAGTCTGTGCTATTTATATTATTTAAGCCATCTAGTATGCACCATTTTGTTACGATAGCCCTCATAGATTAAGATAGACTCTAAGTTACAGAAAAGTATACGTGATCATTCTGCCAAATTTGGAAAATTTCACAGGACTTTGGAGAATTTAGTAATTTATCCTATTCATTCAAGTTATGTGTTGTAATGTTTGGCACCATTTCCAGAATATAAGGATGAGTATGACATGATGTAACTATATAAGCTTATACAAAGTCAAGAGAAATTAAGGTATATGAATATGTACATAAAATGTAATAGATCTATAGTGAAAACATTATGAAGTAAAAGAGAGTGAGGCAAAAAACTGAGGGGGAAAAATGGTAGATATAACCTGTAGAGCAAGGAGAGAGAATGTAAGAAAGATATCAGAGTTGAAATAACTCTTAAACTAAGACTTTTTATTTTTATTTTTTTTGGAGAGGTTTTTGCTATAGGGCATATGTGCTGGCCAGAAAAATAGAGAAAGACCGAGAGACAGAAAGTGAGAAATCACCCCTCTCCAGGAAGGATGGCCATGCTGCAATCCCTTCTCCCCACTTCTCCTCTCGGGATCTTGGGCATGCACACACACGTGCCCAGAGTGAGTTTAAACCACTGGGTCTGGGACTCAAACTGCAGTTGACTACATGGGAGTCCAGCAACATAGCCATTATGTCAACTGCTGGTCCCTTGAACTAAGTCTTGACAGCTGTGCATTTTCTAGTCAGAAAGTGTGTGTGTGTGTGTGTGTGTGTGTGTGTGTGTGTGTGTGTAGCATTTATTTACAAGTCATTTTATATCCTAGAAATAGACAAAACAAAGGCAATGAGGAAGCACAGCTTGGGATCCCCCGAGAACTGATGTTACTCAAATTTTGTAGGGCACGGGAAGGAAAACAAAGGAGCAGATTAGCCTGTAGAAATAAATTTTGGATAGATCTTAGAATACTTTGTTCATATGAAAGCATACTCAGAAATCTGAACTTGGGGAGTGGAAGAGAGGCTTAACTCTAGAATGTTTACAACTTATTGACTGTGTGGTTTTGGACAAGTTATTTAAATTCTCTCTACTTTATTTTCTTCATCTTTAAGAAGGGGATAATCCAGCTTACAGGGTTTAGTAAAGGACTAAGTGAATTAATACATTAAAAATCTTAAAGGAATGCCTGACATTTAATAATTACTTTTACTGGGTGGATATTAGTGGTTTATTAGAAAAGGAAGTGTAGGAAGAACAACCAGATGGAGGAGGAAGATTCAAATTGTTTTGTTAATATTTAGTTTAAATAGCCTGAATGTATTCATGTGGTGATACCCAGAATAGGCCAGGATAACCTCTAATTTAAGGTTGACTAATTAATACCGTTGATTAGATGTGCAGAGTTCCCTATGCTAGCACATACGCAGGTGTGGTATCTCATCATATTCATAGTCCTGAAAATTAAGGCATGGTATCTATCTTCTTGGGAGCCACAATTATATTAGCATAGAGACCTTATATTACCCAATTTTGAGGATTACTAAAGGTTAAGTAGAGGGACTATTAGTTTTTGACAAGAAAGTGGAGACCTAATCCTGAGACAATAAAAAAGGAAGTAGTATTACATATATAATATATATTATATATATGTGTGTGTGTGTGTGTATATAAATATATATATATATATATACGGTTCATGCACAACAGAAAATACCACCCAAAGGCCAGCCTGTGGTGTGGTGATTAAAGTGGCTGGTTTTACACAGCTGGTTGTAGGATTCAGGTGCTAGACCCAGTGGCTTGAGAAAAACAGTGTGTGTGTGTGTGCCCAAAATCCTAAAAGGAGGGAGAAATGGAAAAGGGATTGTGGTGTGACCCTTCTCCATAGGGTGTGCTTTCTTGCTTTCCTTTTTTATTTTTTATTTTTTTTTGTCTTTCTCTGATGAATGCATGTTCCCCTGGCAACGTATTTAAAAAAAGAAAAAGCTACCCAAAATATGGCACCTTGTCCTACTGAGTATTTTAAGCTGAGGAAAATGAGAAAACTGCAGAATTAGAAAGGTCTCTTTGTACTTCTCCTGCCTCTTCTCTTTAGATGACTGTAACATGACAGGCATCCTGCCCTCTACTTGGAGAAAATGAATATTACACAGATAGGTCAAGAAGATTCTGAATAAAGAGACCTTACTAAGTTCCTCTAAATTGATCACCATTACGTCATGCTTCTCTTTGTTTAATCATAATTCCACATGACCGCCCTTTCTTCAACAATCCTAAGCACATAAATACAAAAGTTTCCCTCAAAAAATAAAACTTTCATTAAACAAATGTTATGCTTTTCTTTTGTTGATCTTTTGTTATAGAAGTGACAGCTATGAACCATGCAATGGTTTTCTCATTTCCAGTTTTCTGGAGCATCCTCACCCCTATTTATTATTTACCATAAATTTTAATTCTTTGTCATGACAGTTTTTTTTTTTTTTAAAGAGAGATTTTTGCTATAGACTGTGTGTGCGTGCTTGCTGGAAAAACAGAGACAGACAGACAGAAATCGAGAAATAACTCCTAAGGGGTGATGGCTATGCTGCAATCCCTTCACCTCCATTCTCCTCTCGGGATCTTAGGCACACATGCACACATGCCCAACAGCAGTTTAAGCCACTGGGTCCAGGGCTGGAATCACAGTTGACTATGAGAGTGAGAGTCCAGTAATGTAGCTATTACTCCATCTGCTGGTCCTTGTCTTGACAGATCTTATACTGTTTTTTGCATTATTATTTAACTCCGGTCATCTTATTGGCTTATGCTTTATCCCCACCTAGATTTTCAGTTTCTTGGGCCAAGGGATCTTTTTGTCCTCACATCTGCAATAGGAATCTTTAAGAGCTGGTCGTAAATTACTACTTAATGATTTGAGTTGAAGGTAAGTACTACTCAGTATGATAGAAATACCAATGATCACAGAGGGGCAGACAAAAAATGCGTGTGACAAATTTATTGCCACTAAATAAACCCTTGTCTTAAAACGGATACATATTCTATTGACCAATAAATTATCCATTTTCCATACTATATTAATTACATTTTTACTACACATCTATAATCCTTATATATACATACATATATATATGTATGCATATATATATTCATTATACATTTATAAAAATATGCATTATTTCTTATTCCAATGGCTTATATATTTTTTAAAAGTTTTTGTTTGTTTGCCTTAGGGAGTGTGCATTTGCTGGAGAGAGAGAGAGAGAGAGAGACAGAGACAGTGAAAGGGAAACTGAAAAATCATCCCTCAGGGGGGATAGCCACAGAGCAATCCCTTCTCTTCCATTCTCCTCCTGGGATCTTGGGCAAGCATGCACATGTGCCCAGTGTGAGTTTCAACTGGGTCCAGAACTTGAACCATGGTCGTCCATGTGGGCATCCAGAGACATAACTGTTATACCATCTGCTGGCCCCATGGCTTATATATATATTGATTACAAGAATATAAAAAACACTCAGCCTTATCAGAGATATTACGTGACTAATATAACCATTACTAATTAAGATATATTTTTAGTACAACCATGATTTTTGGTTTGTTTCTTATTTGTGAAATGGATTTTCTTCAATTAATATTTATTGAGTAAATTTGTTAACTAAGTACTGTACTAGGCACTAAATTGGAAAGATAGATTAAATTCTTTTATAAAAGACTTCACAAATTAACTACGTTATGGGCACTTTTGTGAAAAGTGCTAGAACTGAGACTTAAAGTACTATGGTATCAAAACAAAATTGAAGGGAATAATTTAGAATAAAAGAGTAGCTTGGGAGAAATTAAAAGTGAATATGGTATTTAAGTTGATTACTAAACTATGAATAAAAAAAGGATGAGTTTTATCAGTGTTTCTACAGTTCACACACTGCAGAATGGAGACAAACAGGAGTTAAAAAATGGTCACACACACTCAGTCATTAGCTACTTGCAGTTTGTCTCCTTCACATATAAGCACTGTCCCCTCACCTGTTGGAACAGCTCAAAGCTTTCTAATTTGCATAATAACATGGAGGCTTGGGATGCATAATAATATATAGACAAGAGTAACATTGTGGGTTAGTAATTCCTGCAACATACATATTTGAGGGAAATGGTGATAGTATCAGTGAAGTTATAGGAATAAGGAAGTACGAAATTGGGTAAAGAGTGGAGAACAATTTACTCTGTTTAGAGCAAAAGGTGTTGTTAGGGGAAGATGGAAGAATATATAGCATAAAATTAAGTGTCAGATTTGTCTAGATAGACTGGAACAGAGCACAATGTAAGAAATGCCATTCAGAAAACTTTATATTTTATTCTATGGGTAATTGCATGCTATCAAAATATTTATTTATTTATATAGGAAATGACAGGATCAAAATTTTAGTTTAAAGAAAGTTAGGATTTGTAGACTACAGAAAAGACAAACTATTGAAAGAAGTAATGAAAAATGAAGATGGAGTCTCAAGTGGTAGGACAATGGGAATCTAGAGAGACTGTGAGAGTCCGAACTAGAATGGAAAAAGCGAGATTAAAAAGGAAGGATTTGTTTAAGACTCCTTTTAGAAATATAGACAGGAAATGTATTAGATGTTGGCAAAGAGGGAGACTAAGATGTAAAAGACTGAGGAAGTTTCTAATACTGGTAAAGTGGATGGATGATTGAGCCCTTTAAAAACAACTATTAAAATACAGGCTTTGTTAGGTGAGATTGGGAGGTAAGGGAAGGTAGATTTATTTTACTGTCTAATCTCTGGTAATAAATTAGTACATAATTTGTTTCCATTTTCCAAAATAGGATGTATCATGTTAAAAATAAAATATTATTTAAGAGATTTCAACATTTAGTATACGATATTCACATGTAATTGAGTTACAAGCTTCTATTATGTGTAAACTGTACCTACCTAAAATCTTTCCATTGTTTAAATAAATCCTTTTGACGTTTTTCTGTTGTTAGTTTTTCCTGAACAATCAGCTGTTTCTTTTTCTGGACAGCCTCATCATTCTTCAATCTATCTATTTTAATCATTCCTTTCATCAGAAGAGTACGCTCATTATTTAAGTTTCGAACTAATTCATGATCTGCAGCCTTCTGTTTTTTTTCTTTCAGAAAAAGAGATCTTCTGGCTCTAACTTTTTCAAGGTAGTTGAATTTGTCTTTCCAAAGTTGTCGTAAACCATTCTGAATTGCCTCATTATCTTTTTCAATAAGTTTTTGTGCAGTATATTTTTTATTATTTAAATACTCATGAAGAGTTAGGCTTACTCTTTCTCGGGCAATTTGTGCCATGGTTACAGCTGTCATTTTTTCTTTATAGCATTCTTGTTTTTTTTGCTCTGTGTAATATTTATCAATTTCATTAAGTTTTTGTAGTTTCATACCAGCTCTGTGTGTCATAAAAAACTCTCTCTTTATATTTCTCTCCATCAGTGAGTCTTTTTTAGTTACTGGGTTTTGATGAGTGGTAGAAAATGGTTGGGCATGTGCAGGGAAATAATCTTGTCTTTTCTCTTTCAATACTGTAGCATACATCGATGAATCTGAAGTATGTAGGGGCAGTTTGGATACTGATAACCTAAAACTAGTATCCAATTCTTCCTCTTCGTCTTCAGTTTTCTTCTGATCTACATTGTACAGGAGAGAACTGTTAGACATTATGCAAGAGCCAAGCATAGTTTATTTCCTGTCCAAATTGTTAAAAGCTATATTAATGAAGTTGATATAAAACTTGTTATTTACTTTGCTAATAAGTATTTTCCCCAAATTCCTTGTAATTTAATAGTAATCTTGGAGAGGTAAATCACTATTAAGACATTTTAATAGAGCCAGCTCATGGCAGGGTGGTTTATAGTGGCTGGATCCCACCTGACCCATTTTGTAGCCAAAGCCCCAGATCTGGTGGCTTGAAAAACACACATGGCACGTGTGTGTCTGCCCAAAATCACAAAAGGAAGGGGAAATGGAGGAGAAGGGATTGCAGTGTGACTATTCCCCATGGGGTGTGAGGTAGGGGGAGATGTTTTTCAGTTTCTTTCTTTCTTTCTTTCTTTCTTTTCTTTTTTCTTTTCTTTCCTTTTCTTTTCTTTTCTTTTCTTTTCTTTTCTTTTCTTTTCTTTTCTTTTCTTTCTTTCTTTCTTTCTTTTCTTTTCTTTTCTCTTTCTTTCTTTCTTTCTTTCTTTCTTTCTTTCTTTCTTTCCTTTCTTTCTTTCTTTCTCCTTCCTTCCTTCCTTCCTTCCTTCCTTCCTTCCTCCCCCCTCCCTCCCTCCCTTTCTTCTCTATCTCTTTCTGTCTCTCTCTAGTGAATGAATGAACCCACTGGCAAATATAAAAAAATTAACATAGAAATGCCTGAATTTGATTTCTATATTTTCTATAATTATCACTCACACTTATTTAACTTATATTGACTCAATAGCAGCATCTTCTACTTAGTACTTAATGATATCATTTTTATGTAGTTTGCTAAAAGAAAAAGAAAACATTAGAAAAAATGAATTTAACAAAGTTTAATTGAGCAAAGAATGACTCATGAATCAGGCAGCACCCAGAACCAGTGGAGACTGAGAGAGAGAGATGCTCTTCGATGTGGCCAGGGGGTATTAATAGAAAATGGAAGTGACATACAGAAACAGCTTAATTGGTTGCACCTCAATATCTGCCTTATTTACACATGGTCTGAGCAGTGGCAGCTGTGGCTGGCTAATTTCTGATTTGCTAATAAAAAACCACTTATGGAGACAGAAATAAATGGAAATTATGTTTGAATAAATATATTTGGTCATTCGAAAACTCATGACATATTTTTCTATGTTTTTTACACAAAAATGTGTTATGATTTTTTCAAGCAACCCAATATTTCTAGATCTATTTGTTGCCATATCCAATCTAACTAATACAATGACTCGAATCATACTATTGCTCACTAATTTATTTTTTGACAAACCTATTAATGCATTCAGGATCAGGTATATAAATTGTTTGTAAATTTTAGGGAAAAATGTTTCCAATGTTTAACTGGTTTCCTTTACCTATTAAAATAATAGCCCTGTAAACTGTAGTTGCTTAAGGATTAGATATTCTCTAATAGAAGATTCCCTTCATGTGCTTTTTTTTTTTTTTTTTTTGTGTGTGTGTGTGTGTGTGTGTGTGTGTGAAAATGCCAAAGCTGTTGCTGGTGATATTATGAAATTTAAGGTAGCCATGAAGAAGGACAGGGCCTCTGGTCTAGACAAGCATTAGGGAAGAAATGAAGAGGCAGGATTTTTACTACAGGCTGCAGGAGTATCAACATTAGACAATTAAACAAAGTCTACATATAGGTAAGTAGAAAATCAAGTCTAGCAAGTAAAAAGGCAACCATCAAGGGAACCAGCAGTTAGCGTAATGGCTATGTCGCTGGACTCCCGCGTAGTCGACCGCGGTTCGCGTCCTGGACCCGGTGGCTTAAAACTCACGCCGGGCGCGTGTGCGTGCGTGCCCAAGATCCCGAGAGGAGAATGGAGGAGAAGGGATTGCGGCGTGACCATCCCCCCTGGGGGGTGATTTCTCGCTTTCTGTCTCTATGTCTCTCTCTGTCTGTCTGGCGAGCGCACGCGCCCTACAGTGAAAATCTCTCCAAAAAAAAAAAAAAAAAAAAAAAAAAGGCAACCATCAGGATAGAAAGCCAAAGTATTAAAAAATAAATATTAAAATTTGGATTCAATGGAGGGAACTGGAAGCCCTGAGGGAAAAAAGCTAAAATCTCTATTTGGTTGAATAAATTTCATCCCATTAGTACTTTAGAAAGTCTTCTGAGTTTCTTTCTTCTAGAATTTCTGTTTCAAGACAACACTTATGGTTATAATCTTTATCTTCCAGAAATAAGCCTAGTCATATCAAGCCTTACACCCAAACAAAGGAAAACAAAAGCTTCAGGGCTGCCATCTCCAGGATTTAAAAAGTTATAACTTCTGGCTTAGGATCATATTTCATAGGAAAATCTATTTTTCTGCTTATCCATACAACACATCTTCCTGTTGGGCTTTTGCTTCAAATGTTTTATTCTTTGTCCAATATGTTGTTTTACCCACCTACATCTATTAACATTCTATCCATTCTTCAGAGCCTTTTAACATTTCATCTTTCCTTATTTATTAAACAAGAATTTATATCTTTTTAAAAAATACCCATTTCCTCTCTTATAGAATTTTTCTCATTCTGCTTATAGTAAAGCTCTATGTTAGAGTTAACTGAGATAGACATAAGGTGTTTAGAAGAAGAGATCATGGGCCAGCCCATGGTATGGTAATTAAAGGAGCTGGATCCCATCTGGTCAAAAGCATGGTTCTAGTCCTGGACCCAGTGGCTTAAGAAATGCTGAGCACATGTGCATGTGTGCTCAACATCCTGAAAGAAAGAAGAGATATGAGAGAAGGGATAGTGGTGTGATCACCCTCATTGGGGGTGCTTTCTCACTTTCTCTCTCCCTCTCTCACTGTTTCTCTCCTGCAAGTTTATGTGTCTTCTCGCAAATTTAAAAAAATAATAAAAAAATGAAAAATAAAACAAAACAAACCCCCAAAACATAAATAAGTACGTTAAATGAGGGTGATTAAATAGAAGATGCCTAATAAGTTTATTTGTTAGATGAATCATAAACAAGCTTAAGAGTAAGTCTGTTGCTCAAGAACAATATGGCTTGCATATGGTTTAAAAGATTTGAATTTGTTACCAGTTTGACTAAATTCAAATTCTAGTTCTACCACTTACTAACTCTGTGTCTCAGGCAAGTTATTTAATTCTCTGCATCTCAGGATCCTCACAGTAAGATGACTATAAAAATATCTAATTTATAGGGTCTTATAAAACTAAATGATTTAATAGAATATAAAATGTGAACCAAATATAATATATAAGTATTAGAATATTATTTGATGAAGAGTAAGAGAAATACATTAGTTTTTTTTTTTTCACTCTAGATATGGAAAACAAGGAGTGTATCTTGTCTCTTTAATTCCATTAATAGTATGGTATTCAGATAGCATCACAATTTAGTAATGAGTGGGAAAAACATACAAAGCACTTTTATTAAACCCTTCACATCCACTGGAAATCGAAGCACAGAACACATAGGAGAGCGTTCTTGTTAGGTGTATTTAGTTTTAACACATATTCTTTATTAAAATAGAAGCCAAGTGATGGAAATGCCCACATCTTTCCATAACCAAATTTGCCAACCTTTCTGTACGTTCATACATCATCTTCTAACCTGATACAATGGCAGAAATATTTTTTTCCTTCTGCAGAGCTAAAATTCACATGTTATTTGGCTCTATCCCCTTTAGTCTTTACTATTACATGTATCCTGGCTTTATCCTTTATCCCCAACTCTGCTGGATCATTCCCATCAATCTTTGAGCTGCCATCAGCACTGCCATCACGGACACCACCGCACCCTGTCAGCTCTCATAGTTCCCTAGGTACTATTCCACTTTCTCTGTTCAACTTTAGAGTAAATATTATCTCTTTGTACTACCTTCTTTTCTTCAGATTTATTAACTATTAACTCAGATAAGAATTTCACCTCTACCGTTTCTACTAAACTGTTGAAACTCTTCCTACAATAGGTTTTTATGGTAATAAAAACAAGTGATACATTTTTTTCTGTTCTACTCTTTTTTTCTCTTTTTGAAAAATCTCAGTGGCATTTAACACAGCTGGTCATTTCTCGAGATGTCTTAGAACCTTCACCCTCCCACAGCTTGCTCTCCCCAGATTCTGTAATACCAATCTGTTCTACTTTTCTTCTACCTTTCTCCTTAATCCATCTTGGTTGTCCTTGCAGATTCTACCCTTTCCTACCAAATGTCTTTATGTTGGAATTTTTGAAGACTTGATTCTATGCCCGCTTCCTATTTATCTGTACCCTCTCTCCTGAAGTAAATCTTACTTATGGTTTTAAATACTAATCAGTATGCTAATAATCTAAAATTTATCATCACTTGCAAGTCTAATAGATATTTTTTGAGCTAGACACATTCAAAACCAAGCTCCTGCTTGCTGTTAAAAATCTACTTTTTCTAAAATCAGCCCTTCCTATTTCAGTAAATAACACCTAATAGCTTTTTTTTTTACATGAATTTTATTAGTAAGTCTTATAGATTTTACCGTCAAAATATAGCTCAAATTAATTAAACTTTCTCTATCTCCTAGCTATGGCTCTATTTCAGGACTCTAACAGTTCTTACCTTGACTATTGAAGCGACTTTTTAAGTAGTATTTGCATTTTCCAAACGATAACAATTATTGCTCATTCAGTAATAAAGGCACAGTGATTTCTTACAACTTTGTCTTTAAAGGTCTTACGTGTGCCATTATAATCAAATTCAATCTCCTTGCCATGCCTACAAAGACTCGCATGCTTTTATATCTGTTTACTTTCCAAATATAATCTTCCAACTACTTATAACCTCACTTACTACACTATAGCAACGAATGAGTTGTGGAAGTAATTATAATTAACCTAGGCAAAATTATTGGGTTTCAAGGCTGTAGTTGACAAAAAGTTAACTCCTTTGACTGAAGATTTATAAGTGAAGACTTTAATTTGACTTATTAAAATATATAAGTACTTATTCCTAATAAA